AATACAGTGCATGGACCACACTGGTGTGACACTAGGGGAAACGTGGGCGTATCCCTTTCCTGAGCTCACTTTGTCATCTGCTTTTAGAAAGATGAAGTATGTGTGAAGTCACAGGAGGATGCCAGACTCTCGTTTGAGCTGCCATCTGAGGCGAGGATGTTTTAGTCAGTTCAGTTACTATTGACTGACTGGGACTGGATTAGCACAGTCACTGTTGAGTGACCTGTGACCGTTAGGTTTGGGGAGGGAGTGTTGAGGGACAGTTTGTTGTCTCACAGTAGATCACCATCCTCGATAATGGCAACTGTGCAAATCTCCTTAGGTTTCTCATGTGTATGTGTGTTCCCAGTCTCCCCTTGCAAAGGCATAGGGTAGCATCCTTGTGTTTGACAGGAACCCACCTAGGCTGCACAGAACTGCAGAAAGTCTCTCTGTTTCCCCCGATGGGGAGTGTGGGATTTGGAAGGTGTTTCCCCTCCCAGCTCCATAAGCCCTGGGAGCACATTTGTTGGAATTTTTCTTGCCTCCACAGGCATCACCCTAGTCTTGGAATTTTTTTCCTAGGTTTTAAAAAAAAATTTTTTTAACCCCCTATTTGTTATTTCAGTCTTTCCAGTTTCCTCTGTCACTTGAATTCTGACTATGTTTCCAAGTTTGCCAGACTCTGCACCCCTACCCCCCAAATCATCTGCACATACAGGGATACAGCGGTGGTGACATTATGGTTCTCTTCCTACATCACTCTTGCAGAAAAGTGGGTGATCCCAGCCTTTGATTGGGCGTGCTCCATTCTTGGGGAGTACTGAGCTTCTCTAGGAAGATATTGGGCCTCCTTGGTCAGCTGGTATTCTAGGAGTCAAGTGTGGACGGGAGCCATGTGGTGTCTCCACACTTGCACTTGAAGCCTGAGTGGGGTCCAGAGCACCATACTTGGTTGCTTGCTATTGCTAGCTTCCCTCCTCGTATCCTCTCAGGTGTTCCTTTCAGTGTTCTTGCATGTGACAACAAGATATCCTGCTGCTGGTTCCAGATGGGTTCTGAGAAGTCCAGCAGATGGATGGCCTCAGGCACGGGGGGCCCAGAGGTTCACATGTTGCCATGTTATGGCAAATACTCTCCTCTACTCTGCTTCTTGCTTCCATCTTTGGCCACTCAGTCTTTAGTATCCCTAGGTCCTGGCCCTTAGGTTCTGGCTTCCAGAAGCTTAGCAGCCTTCTGCATTGCTCATTAGTTTTAGGTCCCATCCAGAAAGGTCTCTAGGTGGCCCAATCTGGATTGTTTGTCGTTGGTGTCCCTGATCTAGCCATTGGGCCATTGGTAACTGTGGTGCTCTGATTGGTCTAGCCTGAGTCCCAGCCTCCTGGCTAGTTCCCAAGGAAGACTGAGATTCTCTTTCCAGGACAGTGGGATGGGAGATGGTTGTTCCACAGATAAACCCAGCAGATTCCAGTTCCAGGCTGGAAGTTAAATATTTGGCTTAGAAAGCTTCCTAGTTCTGGGGACAAACTGTAGAAAAGTGTCTCTTTCCATATCAAAAAGATTGTGGCTTTTTGACTTCAAGGTTCCCACAGTCTTCCAGAAGGCCTAACGTCCCATATATATATATATATATATATATATATATATATATATATATATATATATGTAAAAATATACAAAATACTTATGTGTATATTTTAGATAGAGTCTTGCTAACTTACCTGGGCTGGTCTTGAACTTGGCAGTCTTCCTGCCTCATCCTCTGTAGTAGCTGGGATTATAAGCATGAGCCACTATACTCAGTTACTTTTCTTTCAAAAAAATTTTCATTGATGGGGATGGAACCCAGGGTCTTCATTGTTTAGGGTACACTGATGAGATCTGCGTTGCCCACCATGCAACTTCCCCAGACTAGCTGGTATGTTCAGTTTCTTTGCTGCAAATTCAGATTTTACCCATTCATGGATCATGTGCATCTCATGTGTATCAGAAACTGATTCCTAATAAAGTGAATTACTAATTAACTCATTTTTCAAAACATAGACCTTTTTAGGCCTGGGTGGACATAGGACAGGATGGTCAAATTAGGCTTCTTTGCCTGGTCACCTTCTCTTCCCATGGGCCTGCATAGCCCTGTTCCAGCCCTCTTGGCAGACATAGAAAAAATTTTCTGTCTCAAATAGTAAATCCCAGCTAAAGTTACTTTGCTGTTTCCATTCAAAAATAGTCATGGTTGTCAAGAGAATTGTACATAGTCGGCCACACAGTGGCATTTGTCCCTCTGTAGTTATCAGTTTATAATTTATAAAAATAAGTCATCCTCCTCCTTTTCCCTCTGATCTAAACTGTGAACAAAGCTCATTTTTTTCCTTCTTGGTTTTACATGCTTTTCTTGCTCCACATCTTACCTATAAATTACCCATAGCTGGAGTCCTTAAGACATAGCTAATGTTTGTGAACTGACCACACCTGCTCAGGTCTGAGTGAGGAGCTCAGAAGGTGACAGATGGTCTGTTTTAGGGGCGGTTGTGTGTATTTTCGTTCAGCCTCAGCATGCTGAAAACTTTGGAAGGACAGTTGTAAATTGGGAAGGAACATGCAAACGGTTCAGAAGAGAGCGAGAACAAAAGTCAGTTCTAGATATAACAGAATGTGTCCTTGAGGAGGGTGTGAGTTCAGGGCTTGCTGTGGGGAAGGAATCCTGGCAGCTGCTTGCCAGGAGAGGGACTGCTTAAGTGTTTGCAGCCCCATCCTGAGGTATAGGGAAGGAGTTAAAAATGGGAAAATTGGGTCTGAAGTGTATATAGCTCTGTTTGGCAAAACCATGGTGGCTCAAGTGTTCAGAGCCTAAAACTCTTCCTGCTGGCACTGCCAGGGACCTGGTTTGTGTCAGTCACATGGTGGGAATTGAAGTTTTAGTTTGTAGTGCCTCACTGGCTCCAGTGAGAAGCACAACCTCTCTGGTCTGGAAAATGGTTTCTTGGGGCACCTCTGGTGTACTTTCAACTAGTGGGGATTTCTTACCCCTTCTTACCATCTGTTCATCCCAAAAGCCATTCTTGTCTATAAGTTTTAAAAAAGTAGCAGGCAGCTATGTAAAGTAGGCTTTGTTTGTTTTTCTGACTATTACAGATCGTTCATAAGCCTGAGTATTTCAGGCTGCCACCAGCAGGCGTCTATGCAAGCTGAGCCTGTTGGAGAAGGGTCCTACCTTGGTCTGGGTGTTTGTGTTCTTTTCCAGCCAGTGTCTGGGAGCAGAGGTACCCCGGCCGGTGCTCACAGGATTTGCTGCCTTTTCTTGCCACAGGCCTTGGAAGCTCTGTGGGAACCCTGGCAGAGCTTCACAGCTTCTCAGGTCTCCTGAATGATGCTGGGCCCTGATGGATTGGATGCTTTCTGCCACTGTCCTTACCCCTAAGGTGGCTGGGTTAGTGGAGGGCAGCAGAGCCCAGGATATTGTTTCTACTTTGGGAAAGCCTTCTCTTTTTCCTAAGATATTCTCAGCCACTGGAGGCCTTTTGACCAGTGCTGTTTGTTCTTGTGCTTAGTCAAGCTTGGAGGGAGGTGCTGAAGGACTCTTCAAGGGAGAGGAAGTGGGGTGGGCAGACTGTGCACCAGAGTGACACATAGAAGTGCTGGGTCCTTGGCATGTCATAGGGCCCTGAACTAAGTATATCTGAACTTATCTGTGACTTTGACAGATCTCTGTGTGCTGGGAAATGGTCACTGAAAATGTTCCTTTTCCTTTGCAAAGCCTCGTCCATCTCTGCTAGTGATGAATGTTGCATTGGGAACATGCCTACTTTCAACTGGCTGAGACCAGAGATGGCAGGTGGAACTTTGGTGATGAGTGACCTTTACATTTCCATGCCCCCTTTTTGTTTATTTATTTATTGATGGTACTGGGGTTTGAACTCAGGGCCTCGAGCTTGGTAGGCAAATGCTCTACCACTTGAGTCTTGTCCCCAGTCTTTTTTGTTTTAGTTATTTTCCAGATAGGGTCTGACACTTTTGCTCAGGTCAGCCTGAACTTTAGTCCTCCTATTTATACTTTTCTGTGTAGCTGGGATGGACAGGCACGTGTCTCTGTGCTCAGCTTGTTCTTTTCTTTTCTTTTTTTTTTTTTTGGCAGTACTGGGTTTTGAACTCAGGGCCTATACCTTGTGCCACTTCACCATCCCTTTTTTGTGATTTATTTATTGATTTATTTATTTGAGTTAGGGTCTCAAGAATTACTTGCCTGGGCGGCTTCAAACCGCAATCCTCCTGATCTCTGCCTCCTGAGTAGCTAGGATTACAGGTGTGAGCCACCAGCACTGGGAAAAGTGTTTTTTTTTTTTTTCATCATTTTTAAATTTTTTTTTTTTTTTAGCTGTACTGGAGTTTTGAACTTGGAGCTCTTGTGAACTTTTTGTGTGGGCTGGCCTGAAACTTTGATCCTCTCATTCACTGTTTCCTGAGTAGCTGAGATTTTAGGTATGAGCCACTGTGCTCATCGACTTAATTTGTTTTCAACATGCCATCTGAGCCTTAGATATCCATCTGAGCCTTAGATGAGGAAGATGGAACAGTCTGTTTCTCTGGCAGAAATAGCACAGCAGCTCAGTGGAGAGGAAGGGCTGCAGGAGGAAGGAGTAGGTGGTGAAACCTAGGTTACCTGGGAGTATGCTAGGCAGAGGGTACTAGCTGGGTGACTGTAGTAAGCTAGTCTCTTGACTACAGACTTCAGGTTCCTCATCTGTACAATGGAAGAATAGTCCTTACTCAGAGGGTTTTCATACATGGTAAGACAGAGCCTGGCCTAAGGGTCCCTGAATAGCCAAGTAGGCAGCGATGGTGAGTGGAGCTCCTTACTCTCTCTCCAGGCTCCATCTGTGCTGGTGTATCTTTGACCATCCCTGGAGTCTTCTGGTCCTCAGTTTCCTCATCTTATAGACAAGGAACTTCTATCCCCTGCTGAGTTGTGGCCCTCTTGAGGGCAGGAATGCTGTTTCTCATCTGTGACATTATTTATTCAACAGTGTTCTTTTCGTGTTGGACACAGTGCATGTTCCTGGGTACTCATTGTGAAGGAGACAGATGGCATTCACCAGACTCGAGGTGCAGAGCCCAGTGTTGGAGATGTGGACCTCACTGTAGCTCCGTAAGTTTTCTCATGTGGAGTAGGAGGGAGAGACGCCTTAGGAGCCAGCAACAATCTTCTCCTGTGAGATGAGGGGGTTGTTAGGCTAGAACCTGAGCTGTTTTAAGGCTGTTTTAGCTTGACCACTTGCTGGAGGCTCTTTTTTTTTGTCATTTTGGAGTTGGGAGGTCTAGTGAACTATTTGCCTGGGCTGGCCTTGAACCTCCTTCCAATCTCAGCCTCCCGAGTAGCTGGGATTACTGGCGTGAGCCACTGGCACCTGGCTTGCTGGAGGCTCTGGAAAGGCCAGAGGAGGTCTTAGCCTTGCTCTAGAAGAGTAGTCAGAACCTACATAAATTCTTGAGCAGGGAAGGTCAGGAGAGAAGTGGACTATAAGGAGAATTCCCCAGGCAGTCAGAAGCATGATGGACCAGTGCCAAATGTTTAGCAATTTTAAAGGTACGGAGAGGGACTTTGGGTTTAATATAGCCCTGAAATGAGAGGCTTTCTAGCCCTCTCCCCACGCTCCCATGTGATTTTAAAACTATCAGGATTGGGCTGGGATCAGAACTCAGTGGAAGAGTGCATGCTTTGCATGCATGAGGCCCAGGGTTCATTCCCAAGCACCACAAAAAATAAATTTTTCAGGATCAACTTCCCCAACATCCTGATTGTTTTGCAGCTGGCTTCTGCCTAGTAGTGAAAATATAACCCATAAGATAGTCATTCTAGTCATTCTGTTTTGAAAATAGCATAGCAGTCATACTGTTTACGTCTTGTATTTAAAGGTTTAAACCTGAGTTTAAATTTCTTAATTTGTAACTGGTGTTAAGGATCGTCCTCGTTTTGAAAGCAGGATGACTCTCTTGCATTCTGAGAAGGACAAGGTCTGCCCACTCACAGCCCACACAGTCATACCCAGTGCCTGTCCTTTGCAGAAGTGTCTGGGCCAGGCACTCCCACTCTCACCAGTGTGTCCTTGCTCTCTCTAGGTCATGACTTCCAGCTTCTTGGATCTGGGGCTCCAGAGGAGGAAATGATTGTCAGGGCTCTTGCTCTTGTTTCTGCTGCATTACAGAAAGTGGACCTTCATAGAGTGTGGACTTACCAAGGACAGGAAAGTTTCTCTCTTTGAAGGACTTTAAATTTGTAACAAAGAACATAAAAATGACAACTTCATCTATCAGACGACAGATGAAAAACATTGTGAACAATTACTCAGAGGCAGAAATCAAAGTCCGGGAAGCCACTTCTAATGACCCATGGGGCCCATCCAGCTCTCTGATGACGGAGATTGCTGACCTGACCTACAATGTGGTGGCGTTCTCGGAGATCATGAGTATGGTTTGGAAGCGCCTGAATGACCATGGCAAGAACTGGCGGCATGTGTACAAGGCACTGACGCTACTGGATTACCTGATCAAGACGGGCTCTGAGCGGGTGGCCCAGCAGTGCCGAGAGAACATCTTCGCCATCCAGACCCTGAAGGACTTCCAATACATCGACCGTGATGGCAAGGACCAGGGCATCAATGTGCGTGAGAAGTCAAAGCAGTTGGTGGCCCTTCTCAAGGATGAGGAGCGGCTGAAGGCTGAGAGGGCCCAGGCTCTCAAAACCAAAGAGCGCATGGCCCAGGTGGCCACAGGCATGGGCAGCAACCAGATCACCTTTGGCCGTGGCTCCAGCCAGCCCAACCTGTCCACAAGCTACTCGGAGCAGGAATATGGCAAGGCTGGGGGATCGCCGGCCTCCTACCATGGCTGTGAGTATTGAGGTGCTCCCTACCCTTTGCCCAAGTGGGCCTGTGTACAGAGGCAGCAGCACTAGCACTGTGCAGAAGGTGGTGTGAGTGCCCTGGGGCAGAGGGAATAGTGGCTACCATGGGGCTGGACTTTGTACTCAATTCTCAGCTTTTGTCAGTCACACAACAAATCTCTTGGTCTGGATTGAGTTATAGTTACCAAAGGGACTTTTGGTCCCTTGGCTGCTTGGTGGGATTCACTCCATGCACCTGGGAAGGGTGGCCTCTGGTTTCCTGGGTTCTTGGGAGATGGTGGGCACTGAGGCAGGTCTCACCAACTTCTTTGTCCAAGAAGGTCTGCTAACAAAGGGATTGTGCTGCTGCCTAAACAGTGGGGAGCTGCGCATGTGGTAGCCAGGAGGAAACAAATGCTCTTTCTTGGTAATCTTGTTTTTTAATGTCATATTAAGTATTTTTGCTGCTGGCTGAGCTGCAGTCCCCTGGAATGGCTCTGTGTATTATTCTACTTCAGCCTCCCAGAGGGATGGAGGTTGTATGTCTCTGTATCACTTAAAAGACGGGAAATTAAAGGGAATCTCTTCAGATTGTTAATGACAGCAAGGCTTCCTTTCCAAACATGCAGGGAGTTCTGGGAGATTTGGTTGCATGACTGGGTCTGCACTGGGTGGGGCTAGTCTGTGTTCTGGTTTTACATGTCAGATTACTTTGGGTCTTTGCCTTATGTTCAGAAGAGGTTTTTGAGAGTAAGAAGTAGAGTTCAGGCCTGATAGAAGATAGTCTCTGAGCCACATTGGTATCCTGGCTGGTCACTGAACAGTGCCTCTTCACAGTGTTGGGTGGCTACACGTGGACCGTGTCACCCTCAGAGAGATAGGTGGTCCTTTGTGGCCTTTGGGGGTCAGGTAGAGATGGGGGTGGAGGATGCAGGAGTTGTATTTTCTGACTGCAAAAGCAAAAGTACAGGTTTCCATACCATACTTTTTGGAATTAGTAGCACTACGTCAGCATAACAGACTTTCTTCTACAGGAAGTTGTTTGTAGTTTTGACGAACCTCTTGCTTAGTCAGTGATTCTGTCACCAGACCACTTGCCAACATTTCCTGCTTTCGCAGGTTTCGATTTGACTTTTACTGCTACCACCAGCATTTTGAGAAATTTGTTAAATGAGAGATTTGCATGTCAAAATCAGACTTCCTGCCACTAGGAATTCTAAGTTATTATCAAGCTTGGAGCAGGTTAGGGTTTTCTTGTCCTATTTCTAGTTGACATTTTCTTTCAGTTTGAAATGTTCTCCTTAAATGGTTGTAACCTCCGTGAAACCACTTGGACGTGATTTAACCCTAGGCCTCTGAAGTCTCCCTTGGGATTAAATTGCACCAAAAGAAATGAAGATTGCCCATTAAGAAGAGAAATTGGGGCTGGGTATATAGCTCAGTGGTCGAGTACTTGCTAGCATATACGAGGCACTGAGTTCGTCCTCAGGACCACCAGAAATAAAAGGGGAGGAGGATTGCTTCATTTCTCTCAAGGACCCTCCTGCCACCCCCCAGAAAATCTCCCTTTGCATTGCCTTGCCCTTGCTCCCCTTGGCTTCCTCTGTCATTTGTGGCTGTGGTTGTCTGTGATTCATGGCCCGGGAGTGGCCATTATTCTCAGGAAGCCAGAGGACACACACAAGGAACTGAAGTAGCGTCACGTTCATGAACAGCCGGTGGAATGTCTCAGGTGCAGAGGCGAGACTGGGCTTCCAGGAGCCTGATTGTTGGAGTGGCTCCCTCCTCCTTACACCAAGCCTTGGGACCCCCAGCCATGACTCTTAACAGGGTTCTACTGGGCTGAATGATGTCCCCCCCTCTGAAGTGTTCTGGTTCCTTTGGACCTTGAGCCTGAGCTGCATATTCACGGCTTCCAAGCAGGGGAGAGGAGAGACCCTGAGTGGTATTGGCCCATGCGCCCTGAAGGGTTGCTGTGCATCCTCTAATGGTGTGTCTCTCTTTGTGTGTGTATGTGTGTGTGTGTCCCTGCCGGACAGCGCCTGAGGCCTCGCTGTGCCCCCAGCACCGCACAGGGGCTCCGCTGGGTCAGAGCGAGGAGCTGCAGCCACTGAGCCAGCGCCACCCCTTCCTGCCGCACCTGGGGCCGGCCTCCCGCCCAAATGGCGACTGGTCCCAGCCCTGCCTCACTTGTGACCGCGCAGCCCGAGGTGGGACAGCGGTTTGCTTTTCTCCTTCCTAGAAATGCTGGGCAGCTTGCTGGGGGGCTGGGGTGCTTGTGCCAGTACAGCCAACTCTCTCCCTGTCTCCTGCTGGACCTGCTGTCCAGCCTTCAAGCAGTCTGGGATTCCTTTTCCTCTCTCCCCAGGAGCTTGTTGCCTGGCCATACTCCCCTTCCCTGCTTAGTAGGGGAACTGCTTTTTGGGTTGGCATAGGGTGATGATGGCCTCTTTTCTCCCCATTTCCCTCTCCCCCATTCTGATAAACTGCAGGGGCTCTGCTATCTGCTAGGCCAGTGGTGGTGGTAGATCCAGCCACTTGGCTTTTTGACGTGGAAATGTGTGATTTAAACCTCATAATGCTAGACAAATACCAGATCCTCATTTGATGGTTTTTGAAAACATCGTCCTTAATGCTCTAATAGATGCTTTTCTGAGCATCTAGTGGGATTGTTTTTGCTTCCCAATTAACTGCTGTCATTCCTAAAAATCTCCATTACTGTGTGGAACAGAGAGTTAGCTGTACTGTCAATTCTAGGTCCCAGTGTTTGAAGATACTGAATTGAATGGGTAACTAAAAATGGGGCTTCTTTTTTGACTAATTAATAATGTATCCTGGTCAGAGCCCGTACTGTTGCAGGTTAAACTGGAGACAGATTTTCACTGTTGCCTACAAAGAAAATGCTCTCAGCGTAATCTCCCTTTGGTCACGAATGGGGTCCCTGTTCCAGAAGAAAGTTATCTCTTCTACTCTTACCAGCAGGGGCACTGACAGCAAGCCTTTGTGTAGCTTCCCTGATAAGGTAGCTAGCTTTATTCAGCCCTGGAGATAGTTACTTCACTCATGCCTCATTAATATTATAGCTTGTTTGACTTGGGTATTTGTGTGATCCCTATATTTAGCTCTGGGATATTTTCTTTCATGCCCCTGTCTTTTTCTAACAGTTTATACAGGCTTTTGGCTTCTTCTAAACTAATGTTAGAAAATATAAAGAGGATTGGCTTTGTACAGTAAAAAATGTCGAGGTTAGAGCTTGTTTGGAAGGGTCACCCAAAGACGTGAGTTACATGCCCATTTCTGCCACTGCATACATGGACTGTTTTAGCAGGTTCTCATAACTGGAGCTCCCCCTCTATTTTCATACCATTTTGTAAGCAGTAAGATCTGTCTTGAACTTTGATGGTCAGTTTTGGGTTCACCTGTCATAGCTCTGCCGTTGGCCAGCTGGCTCTCCTGGGACATTTGCATATTAAGAGCAGGCCTGGTTGCCTCCTCCTCTGGTCCTGCCTCTGCACCTTTGCTTGTGTGGTTCCTTCTGCTTGGATGGCCATCCCACAAATCTGGCAAGTTGCTCAAGGCACACAGCCCATGTGGATCTCCCCTCCTTCAGCTCTGATATGAATTAAAAATAAAAATGAGGGTATTAAAAAAATATTTTCTTTGCTATTGATGAATTTTGAGGCAGACTGAGAAGCCCCACACGTGTGAAACAGCCGTAGTATAGTGGGAGGGTGTCTGGCGCCTCTGACTGCTGTCCTATTTGAGAACAGTTTTCTTTTGTGAGCTACATCTCATTTCATCTTCCCTCTACGTCTTGCCCTCAAACATCTGTAGCTCTAACCTTGGAAATCTCTCAAATCCTCCTCTTCATCTTGTTCCATGGCCTCATTCCAGTGCTAGCCTTCTGATTGGTTTCCTTGCTCTCACCCTCTCCCATTCCCATCTACTCTCCCATCTTTATAAATGATGCTTTGGTCCTGATGTGAAAAAGCCCCTTCAAATGCTGGGTTCCCTATAGGATCATCCCAGAGCCTTTGACACAGAAGACAAAGTCTTTTCTGATAGACCTTGGTCACCTCATAGCTCTGTACCCCCTACCTCCTGCGGTCCTAGGTCTGTGTGGGTCCTTGTCTTCCCTTGGAAGCACCCATATCTCAGATCTGCTGATGATTGCCCTTAGCTTGGCTCCAAGTTCTGCCTTTGCAGCCTGCCCCCTGCCCCCACTCTGTGCTCCAGGTACCCACATTTCCTCTGCCATAGTGTTTAGAATTCCTGTTGTGTGCCAGGCACCATGTGCTAAGCACAGAGCAGAGCACCTGTCCTTGTGGTGCTTCCTTAGTCATGGAAAGGAAAACATAATGTAAGTAAATTATGCAACATGTTACATGACGAGTGCTCTGGAAGACAGCAAAATAGATAACCCTGCTAATGGTTTTGTGGGGAGTAGAGAGAACGGTTTGCAGTATGAAACACACAAGAATTGATGGAGAAGAGCATTCCTGGGAGAGGGAGGCAGCAGTGTGGAGGCCCTGAGGTAGGAATATGCCCAGGGCATTTGAGGAATAGGAGACTGGTGCTGAATCAAGGAGAGTTACAGATGGGAGTTAGGGTGGAGCATGGCGGAATCTGGTCTACAGCTGGGACAGGGCCTCCAACTTCTGACAGGAAGTAGTTCTTAAATTCCTAGTTCTTTCGCAGTGTTTTGTAGCCACAACTCAAATGGCTATAAAATTTCTAAATGCTTTCTCTCATTGTATTTATCTTATCATAGACTATATGCTCTGTCAGGGCTTTCTGTGTCTCTCATCAAAAGACCCTCTGGAGCTGGCTGCCAATCACGCCTGTAATCCTAGCTACTCAGGAGATCAGGATTGCTGTTCAAAGCCAGCCTGGGCAAATAGTTTTCGAGACTCTGTCTCAAAAATAGTCAACACAAAAAAGTGCTGGCAGAGTGGCTTAAGCAAATGTGAAGCCCTGAGTTCAAACACCAGTTTTCTTACTCAGTGA